AGATTTAGAAACAAGAAAAAGTTCGAAGTTCGCGGCCCGGGTTTTACAGATTTCCCTCTAATTATAAGAATCATCTAATTAGACCACCTCAAATTGAACACAATTTCCAGTTTTTTGTGGTCATATCATATCTTTATTATTCTAATCAGACACACCAAATCTGCTAAAAGACCATGAAAACCCCAGTCCCAAAGTTGGTATTTAATTGTGGGAACCTGTTAAAGACCACTTCCAATTTAAGACCATTTTTCTGTGGTCCCATACAAATGTTTTTTTTATTATTCTAATTAGAGACCAAAACTGTTAAAGACCATGAAAGCCCCCGGTCCCAAAAGTAGTGTTTAATTGGGGGAAACCTGTTAAAGACCACCTCCAATTAATTACCACTTTCTTGTGGTCCCATATTAACAAATATTGTCATCTTTATTAATTTTTAGAGACCAAAACTACTAAAGATCATGGAAAGCCGGGTCCCAAAAGTGGTCTTTAATTGAGGGGTGGGGGGGGGGAATGTTTAAGACCACCTTTATTTTAACAAATGTCTTATATCTTTTGGCTTTGGGGTATAGTGCGAAAAGAGCATTAGTCTAGTTAATCCGTGGATTGACCCAGAACTAATTGGGAAGGGGAACGGGCTGTATTAAGTACCTGTTGTTTCGACGTACATAAGTTAGGCCTTGGGCCTATTAGTTGTTAGGTGCAATGAATCTAGAATTGCATATCATTCAATATTAGATTTATTATTGACTACTGAGACTATTAATTTGTTATTTACTATTATTCCGATGTTGAAAAAGCAAAGGGGATTACGTTTCGGGGCGATACTATTCAAATATGTAAGTTACGTGGAGTTGCTTGGTTACGCGTGGCATTATGCCGTCTATTCTCTTTGTTACGCATGGCTTATGCTATCTGTTTCTTTTGTTTTGCTTGTAGGTTCGTGGTAGTACACATATTCTAATGATGAACGCTTGAGATTTCCAGTAACTGGTATTTGTTGAAAAAGCCTTATTCCAACAAATATTTCATACGCTAGGCATAGGCAGTATTCCAGAACTTGTTGATTATATATTATCAAAGTAGCTTTTTTTATCCGTATAAGTACCATAGGCCTATATAATTTTTTGTTTCCAAAACCATCACTTTGAAATTCTTTTCACATACGCTCATTAAGTGTCTGCAACGACAGAGCAACTATTTTTTCACACTCACAAATTCCTTTTCGTTAACGTTTAAAATTACAGGTATTATAATAGACCTAATATAGGCCTTAATAAATAAAATAAAATAAAATAGGCCTTAATAGGCTATTATATGCCTACGTACACACACTACTTAGGAGGTAGGAGGTAGGACTTAAATGTGTCAATTTAAACCTGATTCAAAAGTATTAATTTCAGATAATGCTGAACATTTTCCTGAAGTAGCAGAGAAAAACTAAATTCGAATCAAATCCTATTCCTACAAACAGGATGCAAGATATCCCAACTGGGAAAAACATCTTGCAGAGCCGGACGGCCGTTTTAAGGCACAGACGACTTCTAACATTTATCGTAACAACATCGTTACAGATTGATGGCTTCGTTGGGATGAATCGTCGTACGAAGCTGTATACAGCGCCTGCTCTACTTCTCCCTCCCGCTGCCTCATAATCAATACAAATGCGACTCATGGTCGTTTTACACGTTATAGGAAAAAGAGTCTCAATAGGTGTTTTCTCTCACTCATGGGATCACTATTTGACAAACGCTTATATTTATAGTACTAATGCATTAGATCATACAAAACATTCAATGATTTTTGCTTCAAACAATTATACATTTCCGGGGAAAATGTTCACAGTATTCTCAGAAGACCTTCAATGGCCTGACTTTTTTTGAAGAGAAAAAAATGGAAGTTGTAGGAAGACGTATTTACAGCTCTTGTGTGTCTCTTAAAAATAAACCGGAGCTGTGTTGTTAATTTTGTAATTATCTTCTCGCTTAAAGTAATTATACATTTCCGGAGAAAATGCATTTGTACTGAAGATTTTGCTCCATAGAAATTGTATATTTTTCAAACAAAGACGGAATTTGTATGGAAGACCTTTCAGCACACAAAGATGTCTCTAATACCGATGCTATGTTGTTAATTAAGTAATTATCTTCACGTTTAAAATATTCATTCTTTTAGGAAAATAAACACCATAGAGCTTCAGTGGTCTGACTATTTAGAAAAAAAACAACTTGATGTGGGAAGATACTCGTGCATCTTTGAAAACAAACAAATCTATGTTTGTGTTATATCCGTATAATATTCACTACCGGTATTTCTAAAGTAATTAAATATGGTAACATGTGCAGAAAAAAAGAATAGACGACAAATTGTATAAAAATTTTGCATTTCAATTTTTAAAATACACAAAGCAAACATAAGACATCAGAAAAAAAAAATCAAAAAATTGCATCGGCCGGGAATTGAACCCGGGTCCCCCGCGTGGCAGGCGAGAATTCTACCACTGAACCACCGATGCTTCCTGAAAATTCCTCCGATTTTTGGTCATCAGTTTTTTATTATGTTATGAATAATAACTGCGTAATGACATTACCTGTTATTAAAATTTATTTTTCTAACTTTTATTATGGCTAAGCTTGGGTATTTGCCTTTGCAGTAAAGAGTTGCCTGATCCAGTGCTGATTACTTAGCGAGGACGAGAGTAATGCTAGTACGAATCACAGTAGTGCGCAGTACTATTAGTACGAAGTACGGTTAGTGCGTAGTAATGGGAGGCAACAAAATAGTAGCTAGTATAGCGAATCCTAGTAGGCCTACTTATTTATAAATACACTGTCCTATTACAGAAACACGTCTATGATCAACTGCTGTGTCTGAGAATCATCTTGCGAAGGCCTAAGTCTATTTAGTATTTGTTCAGAAATACTGTTTTGTCTGTTTGGTGGGGGAAGCTAAAAGCTGGTATCTACGTCTTTGCTTGCTAATAATAGAAGCCTCATGGGCATATCTCGAGAAGCAGCCGATCTCGTAAAGAAACCTCCCACCCCCTTCAGTTTGCAAAAGTAATCTCGAAAAGAGGCATGCCACTTCCAATCACACAATAATGGTACAATAAAACTGATATTACAATAAGGTACTGAAATAAATTACAGTAAACTCCATTAACAGGCCTAATAATCGCCTCAATGTGATTGAGTTAAACTTAAAGGCCTTCTTTAAAAATCCGTTATTTAAATGTTGCTGTTAAGTTGTTCGATCAAGTTAAATCAATGTCAAAACCTATAGTTATAATAGGCATAGGTCTAGTCCCTGTCTCTTATACACATCTAGATGTGTATAAGAGACAGTAATAGGTTTATTTTTCTAACTTTTATTATGGCTAAGCTTGGGTATTTGCCTTTGCAGTAAAGAGTTGCCTGATCCAGTGCTGATTACTTAGCGAGGACGAGAGTAATGCTAGTACGAATCACAGTAGTGCGCAGTACTATTAGTACGAAGTACGGTTAGTGCGTAGTAATTGGAGGCAACAAAATAGTAGCTAGTATAGCGAATCCTAGTAGGCCTACTTAGTTATAAGTACACTGTCCTATTACAGAAACACGTCTGACTGAGAATCATCTTGCGAAGGCCTAAGTCTATTTAGTATTTGTTCAGAAATACTGTTTTGTCTGTCACTTGGTGGGGGAAGCTAAAAGCTGGTTTCTACTCTTTGCTTGCTAATAGAAGCCTCATGGGCATATCTCGAGAAGCAGCCGATCTCGTAAAGAAACCCTCACCCCCTTCAGTTTGCAAAAGTAATCTCGAAAAGAGCCCACTCGAAAAGAGGCATGCCACTTCCAATCACACAATAACGGTACAATAAAACTGATTACAATAAGGTACTGAAATAAAATACAGTAAACCCCATTAACAGGCCTAATAATCGCCTCGATGTGATTGAGTTAAACTTAAAGGCCTTCTTTAAAAATCCGTTATTTAAATGTTGCTGTTAAGTTGTTCGATCAAGTTAAATCAATGTCAAAACCTATAGTTATAATAGGCATAGGTCTAGTCCTATACCTCAAACCAAATTCATAGGCTCTTATTAGATTTATTTTAAGCGATGTGTTTTTGCGGTACACGTCTTGTAAGAATCAGTGCCGGGTCGGCATGTTAGTATCGTATTTATATCTTTATATATTATTTTAACTTTGTATACTAATTTTCTCGATCCTGCTCGTGTTTGAGTTTGAGTGTTTATACCTGGAATGAGTGGACGTTAACTTTATTATGTGCAATGAACAACACAGTATTGTGTATTACGTGCAATGTATTTTCCAACTTGTAAACTTATCCTAATCATGCATATAACAATAAAATGATATCTGAATCATAAGCGCCAGTACCGTATTTCGTCACTCACATCACGAACTGACACAATCAGAGTAGATTGTGTTAGTTCGTGAAATCACAGTAGCGCGTCAAATCGAGCGCGTATTGGTTGTCAAGCCATTTTGTATTCTTTACCACACAAAAAGTCCTTAACGACAACAGCGCGTATTTTGACGCGCTTTTTTGATTCCACGAACTAACACAATTGAATTTAATTGTGTTAGTTCGTGATGTGAGCGACGATTTAATGATATCTATGATGACCATTTCCCATTCACACAATCTGATTCACATTAGATAAAATGTTACACGGGACGCATGCTAAAAGTTACACGAATGTTCATTGTGGATGCAATGCCTTGCTTCATACCAATAAATTAAAACAAAATATGAAGGACGAGGACCCCTAATACCGGCTTGTTCACACCAGATAAAATGTTATGCCACAAATCCCCTGTGGTTACACGAAAAAGGCACTCGTGAAATGTTACACGGGTGTGCATTCACATGAACGTAGTCTATTGCAGAACACGCGCGTGTATTTATTTTCCGGACACACAGGACGCGTTAACTTTTTTCTCTCGTGCGAATATAGTACCTCTGCACGCGTTATTAATAAAGAAAAGAAATCTTACCGGTGGCTGTACAAGTCGATAATAAACTCAACAGAATCAACTCGTAAAGCATGATTGTATTCCCGTGTAGTAAGTTTCCTCTAGTTTTATAAAGTCCACACAAATTTGAATTGGCGTCTCGCAAAATTGAATGAACGTTCCTGGGATGATACGCGAAGTGTATTCCAACTTATATACCTTGCTTGTTAGTTATTCTCAACTGATTCCAATAGTCATCGTAAATTTAAAGCTAATGAGAATAAAATAATAAAACACAAGTGACGATGGTGATGAATTTTAATTGCTACACTGTCGTATCTGCAAGTGTTACTAGGGCCGCCTATGGCTAATGCTGAAGTGTTACAAGAAAACGTGTGTGTATCGTCTGTAGAGCGTTGACAACGCGGAAAATATTACCGTGTGTCTATCTACCGAATCGTCTGCTTCGAGTGTGAGCTTTGCTTATGTGATGTTTGCATTCCATGCAGTTCGATGAATCCAAATATTCCGTCAATTCAAAATTACTTGGCTGGAAATATTTCTGAGTGATAATATTCCCCGGGGACTTAAAGGTGAGTCAAAGCTTTTGCCGCCTTCACACGTTTCGTCTGCTGAAAATTAAATGAAACCGAGTTTTGATTTGCATATGTTCCGCATTGGTGTTAGAAAGTACCTTTGTGTCTCGAGCGCGGGAGGAGTACCATCGACGCGGTGACAGCAAGCAAGCTCGTCTGATTGGCGGTATAATTAAATATTCTTCGAGATGATGAGGGAAACACGCGAATGGTGTGAAGAACATTAAACCCGGCAACGCGTATAAAACTCACAATCAACAGTTTTTGTATTATATTTGACTTGACAGATGTATTTCAAGAAGATGAAACAATAGCAACAATAACATAGTCACCACCCACGCGTATTGATGTCCGTGTATATAGGCGATTTTACTGACAATAAGAAGAAATGTATATTTTATCGGACTTCTTACATATAACTGAACAGGTGTAAAGTGTGCAACCTATGATAAATTCAACCCATTGTTTGATCTCTAAGTTTGTGCATTTTTGATCATGGACGTATAAAATTTATTTTATACTCCCACGAATAAAATAAAGCAGGCTTGGAGCCGTTTATGATATGCCATATACAGTAGGTAGGCTTACATTTTGAGTGATTAACAAGTCAAACATACTGTCAATGCCCGGTAAGCGTCGCGGCGCTTATCAATTTTTTGGAGGCTGCCACTCCTTATTCGAGAGCGGCGCTTATAAAAAAATATTTGCATTACACATCTTTATAGGCCTAATCTCATGTATTCCCGTAGTTCAGTAGGCCTATCATAGGTCCTACACGTCACCATAATAAACGTTTATAAATAAAAGCATGCGTCTTTATTGTGTTATTTATCGATTTTAACAATATATACCGTACATTGCATTTAAAACCGTGTTTCTCAAAGTGTTTCCGACACACAGGGATTCTCGACTCGTTAAGCGCCGCCACAGCGCTATCCGGCGCTTATTCGAGCATTTACGGCAGACCATCGAACATGTGGAGAGGGGACTGGAAATTGTACAATGTTCCCCTGGGCTATGTTCAGTTATATGCCTATACAGGGTCTCCCAATCATTCTTATCTGTCCCAGTTTTTAAAAACTTTACTTATCAGATGTACCAATAGTACATTTTAGTTGCTGGGACGACCGGGAACCCAGAATGAAATAAAGGAGAGGCGGAGTCTGACATAACTGCACGCGACCCCACGCGACGCAATTTTTTGACTTACGTAGATGCCAGTAATCATATCTCTATAGGCCTACTCAATTCTACTTTTTATATACTTAAAACTATTAAATGCTCTATGTACAGAGGGAAGACAGGATTTGTCAGACGTGGGGAAGGGGCGCGGTCCCCGACTGAGGGGCCGTGTCCCCAACGAGGGCACCGTGGTCGGGCGTCCATGCTCAAAATATTTCAAAAGTGGTCGAACCACCGTGCGAAGCCTCCAAAAAATTATGACAATTTAGTGGGTCTTTTAAGGCTTATTTAGAGTGTACTGTGCAAAATACGTAACATTTTTCTCCCCGACGGGGCCCCACCAGCTCCATTAACGGGGATCCCCTTTCTCCTCCCCCACTGGCACCACCTTTGGTATGTAGATATTTGAATAATTTGAGCTGATTTCTGTACACGGTAACTAAACATTTGGATGGACTAAGCATACTGTACTTTCAAATAAAAGAAATGAACTATTCCAACTAGAGGGCGCTGTATCGATCGGTCGTATTATCAGGTTATGTGAGGTTTATGATAAGTGATAGGGAAAAAAATTACTTACGATAAGTGATAGGAAAAGAAATTACTTCATAGTTGGCCTAGATATGAATATTATTAGCCGCAAAGAAACTGGACGCACCCACTATTTAGTGGGTGCCACTGGCTGTCTGAAAAGTAAGTGACGAATAAACCTAAAAACAACACAGAACGTTTTAATGGTGAAAGCTTTTTTTCTTCAGATTATCTCTGTGTGTAATTGTTTGTATGTATGCGTGTCACACGACGTGATATCGTTTTTTTTTTGTTTTTTTTTTTCTCTTGGTGCCAAAATTATTTGAACTAGCACTGTGATATGAATCCACTACAACTACGGTACTTGCCGGTGGTGTAAAAACTGATGAAAAATGTGTTGCCGATGAAATTACTCGAAATTGTAATAATAAAATCAAATCCGTGTCATCCAAAAAACATAAATAGAGGAAATTATACAAAATGGCAACAAAAGTTCATTCTAAATATTAATACATAGAATTTAACAATTAATAGGTTTACTGCCTACATGCAAAAAACCACGATTAAAAATATTCGTATTAGCCACATGTGGTCTTCTTTGGTAACATTAAGGTTAATTTTCTACAGGAAATACGTACGGTAAAGCAATGTACATATTTACTTATTCTACTGAACATACACTTTTGATTCAGTGGCACACAACATTTCGGTGCGTTCAATGAGAAAAAAAAACAACTAAACTAAAAGAGACTAAAAGTTATACAAAACAATTATACAATAACAGTATTCAGTACAATGTTAATGTTTTTAGATATTTAAAAAAAAAATTGCATTGGCCGGGAATTGAACCCGGGTCCCCCGCGTGGCAGGCGAGAATTCTACCACTGAACCACCAATGCTCCACATTTAACACACGTAAAAAATACCGTATATATTCTTTTTACACATTTTAGATCTACCGTTGATATTTTTTGTATACTATAGCGATAGTTATAAATTTTCTTTTATTTGAGGACGTAAATAATAAAATACAGGGTGATGAGAAGAGTGAAAAGCACAGCATTTTTCATGGAAAGAGAGGTCAAAGTTCATAAGTTGAAAAGTGAGCCGTCGTCGTGTGGTCGTAGTAGCGTGTACTATGTCGGCAGCGATTCAATTGAAGAGAAGAAGCCTAGCCTACTAGGAGGGCCTAGTAGTAATTAGGAGGCCTAGGCTTATTAGAGAGGCGTAACAGTAACTTGCTGCTGTAATATAGGCCTCTAGGATATAAAATATTTTAGTTGTTTTCCTTATTCGCATGCTGCAGCCAGAAAGTGGTCTAGGCCTAGGCTAGCTAGGAAGGCCTAGCCTCCTAGGCTAGCCTAGCTAGGCCTGACGTCTATTTAATTTAGGCCTACTACTAAGATAGGCTAGATAGTGGGGCCTAGCTATGCAGGTGTTCGATCATTTCAGCTGCCGGGTTTGTAATGGTAATTAACAGCATTATGTATGGTGCGCCATTGGCATTAGTGTCACAGCATGATGAATGAGTCATTACGTGTAATGCCGGACACTCACTGCGTTGTACAACGGTCCACATTTGCTTCCGGCGAGCGATAGACGACAACGGCGCCTGCTGATTGTCAGTGGCAATCTGAACGGATCCTCACTAAAAAGACGATCCGTTGGGTCCGCGTCTTCGTGTGCGTTCTTCATTGCATTGCCGTCGTGTCGCCGTCGCACGCATTGAGTAACCGGCTTAATAAGCCTAGGTCTAGGCCCTACAGTATGCAATGTTTACTGTAATTCATTGGTTACAAGTCAGGCATACCTATCCTACTAATTAATATACACTTCTTTTTTTTTATAAGAACCAGTAAAATTTTGCCCAGACTCAGTGTTCTTATTTTTTGGCCAATTTCAGGCTCAAAATGTTCTTATTTTACACACTTTCTAAACATAGAAAATTATTATTGTACAGCAGTACTGTACTGGGTATGAATGAATCTTAAATAACATTGACACAGGTTTCATTCTCATAACATACCTAATCTGCTATATGTTGTCTCGCTTAAATCTTCTACTTTTATTACTTTAGACCTACGTTTGCTGCTGTTGGAAGACATAAACATACAGTATTTTCTTTCTGTAAAAATACAACTTGACACACTTATATACAATACTGTACTTTCTTTACAGACTTTCAGCACGGTTTTGGTTTTATTTGGCTGATAACCAGGGTGTATCATCGGATATCAGCGCTGTTTGAGGTTATTTTGAGAACAGACTTGAAGATAATTATGTTCAAATACTTAAAGATGACAACTTTTGTTCACAAAGTATGTGGTTTTATTTGAATATCATTGCAAAGAGCCAAATTATATACTGTATTTAATATCAGTATTATATTAACCTAGTTACAAACTTTTAATATTTAACACCACATTTATATATAATCAAGAGGCCAAACGACAATAGAAGGAACTTAGCTGCAGCGTCAGTGCGAGTAAAGATGTGCTGTTGGCGCACCATACATAATGCTGTTTATTAGCATAACAAAGCCAGCAACTGAAATGAGCGGCAGCCGAAATGTTCTGAGTCTGCCTACTAGGGTGGCCTAGCACTTAGCCGGGGATGTGTGTTAAACTGACGCCCCGCATTGCTGGGAGGTGGCCGGGACTTTCACACGTAACTGTTGTAAATTACATCCCGACTAAGTCCCCGCTAGGCCTTGTGGGGGGGGGCGAGGGTGACTACAATTGACAGGTGCATTAATGCCTCTAGTAGTAGGCTAGATTTTGGCTACGTTCAGAAAAAATAAGCCAGGCTTGAGTTAAGCCCAGCTTAACTTTGCCGGGTGATTCAGACTAGCGGGATAAGCCAGGCGTGAACATTTGCATATTAATGAACCATAACCAGGAAACAAGTTTTGAAACATTACGCTCGAAACGTACGCTCACTCACAGAACATATAATTGAATGCTGATTGGTAATTTTTTTACCTGCGGTCAATGCAAGACCTCCTGCAGCGATTAAAGCCCTAGTTACTATAGGAACACCGCCCGGGTTGAGATAAGCCACCTAGTTAATACTGGCACATGGGTAAACCCGGTGAGTTGAGCAGGGTTTATCCACCTAGTCTGAACTATAGGCCTTAATCAATATACAGTTTGTTACCTGTCTGTGTGTTGTACTGTAATCCATCATTCTTTAATGATTTTTTTTTTCTAGAGCCTCGATAAGGGTCCCGGAATAAAAATTGCTGGTAGGGTTCATGGAGAGAGTTTTAGTATGGTCCAAGATTGTGTTTTATAAGCATTGGCAAATTAATATTCTTGGTCTGTGATAATTAGATGACGGGGACCAGGCCTGGCCAACGTAGGGAAATACCTCATCCTATCCCTACTTGCATGTACATTTAAACTTGCCTAAGGTCTACTGTGCCTAAGTCAAATAATTTCTAAGTTGATCTTTTTTTGCATGCATGCCAAATTTTTGTGTTTTCCATATAATTAACAAACTAAACTGTAAGTCAAATTTTATGTAAGTTGAACAATATTTCAATGGCATATTGGATTCGATTTGGGCAAGTTCAACTGTAGATTTTAATGTCTTTAATATACTGTAAACCCCCACCAACCAACTCATTGTTCTATTCATGCTTATATTATGTGAATGTGTATCTGTAACTTTAGTGTAAAACAGAAATAGTAAATCTTCATCATTAGTACCCTGTTCATAAATCAAGGCAATTTTTTGTTGTTTTAATTACATTTTCTGTTGGTTTTTATATAAAAACTATGCTCACTATAATGGTCAATGGTTTGAACTTTTGACAAATAAATTTGAATTAAAAAATATTGCAATAACGTGTCTTGTTTATGAATTTGTAATGCATTGACTTTTATCATATGAATAATTATGCTATAAATAATACAGTAGAAAGAAAAATGAGATGACAGATAGTATGCTTTAATGTACATACCAAAGCAGCAAGGGTGCCTAAAAAAACCCTACTACTTACTTGGTACATGGACCTACTGATTAATGTTTGCCATTATATGACAGGAATATCTGGCTGTCATTGACTGATAAACTGCTGATACACTTATTCAGAGAGATCAGACTGGTGCCTTACAAATGATTTATAATTATAGCATGGAGAAAATAAAATATTTTATTTTCTCCATGATTATAGTGTAATTATTATTTTATTTAATTTACATACATGTACATTTAACATTTAAAATTTTCTACAGTATGTTATTATAACAATCGGAAACATTGCTTGGTGGGATGTTTGAAAATAACGTTGATACAATGTTGCAAGAATTTTTGCAAAGCTATGTAGATGGAAATTAAGTTTTACAGTTCAACTTGCCTTAAATAATTTTTAAGTCAATCTTATTTTACATGCCAAATTGTTGTGTTTTCCATTAAACATTTTATTTACATTTTTATATCAAAACTATGCTCACTATAATGGTCAATGGTTTGAACTTTTGACAAATAAATTTGAATTAAAAAATATTGCAATAACGTGTCTTGTTTATGAATTTGTAATGCATTGTCTTTTATCATATGAATAATTATGCTATAAATAATACAGTAGAACGAAAATGAGATGACAGATAGTATGCTTTAATGTACATACCAAAGCAGCAAGGGTGCCTAAAAAAACCCTACTACTTACTTGGTACATGGACCTACTGATTAATGTTTGCCATTATATGACAGGAATATCTGGCTGTCATTGACTGATAAACTGCTGATACACTTATTCAGAGAGATCAGACTGGTGCCTTACAAATGATTTATAATTATAGCATGGAGAAAATAAAATATTTTATTTTCTCCATGATTATAGTGTAATTATTATTTTATTTAATTTACATACATGTACATTTAACATTTAAAATTTTCTACAGTATGTTATTATAACAATCGGAAACATTGCTTGGTGGGATGTTTGAAAATAACGTTGATACAATGTTGCAAGAATTTTTGCAAAGCTATGTAGATGGAAATTAAGTTTTAAAGTTCAACTTGCCTTAAATAATTTTTAAGTCAATCTTATTTTACATGCCAAATTGTTGTGTTTTCCATTAATTAACAATCTGTATGTCAAATTTTATTTAAGTCTGACTTTGGCAAGTTTAACTGTATACATATTTATGGTTCTATCAAAAATGTTTTCAAAACCAACAGACAATGTTATTACAGTACTGTACTGTATAACAATTAAAAAGTAAAACTGTTGGCTGGGTGAGGACTGTACAGGTACCAGAACATTGAAACCTTACATTACATGGATGACACTACAGAGCATCACCCATCATTTTGTAGGAAAGAAGCAGCAGGTTTTTAAACAGCAAATATGATGAGCTAAAGTATATACAGTGACTGTATTATATCAAAATGGTATTTTTAAGCTTAAAATAAAAAGAAATAAAAGATGTTGGGTCCTACTGTAATAATTACAGCAAAACCAAGAAATATCTATTGTTTCAATTATCAAAGAATTTAATATTTAGAGGCGCTGACCCTAAACTGAACAATACTCGAAAATGATTATTTTTCCCCTCTTGAAAAGTTTTTTAATAACCTTATAAATGATACTAATATCTCTGTACTATATATTAGAAAATGTGTTTTCAGTTGAAATCCAAAATAAGTAAAACACTGTATCATAAGTGTTTTACATTGTAATAGGATATCAAAATACTGTATTACACAAAACGATTATAGGCATAAATATTTTCAAATCATATTACAGTATTCCCCAAAACTAACACTGTAGGTACAAATTTTAATTTACCTTCATGGTATACAAATGTCTTGAAATTGAATGAAACCTAAAAAGGCAAATTTTGAAATCTACATTAACAATTCAAAATATTTTTACAACCTACAGTACACAAATTAAGGATACCAAAATTAAATCTGAATATACTATGTAGTATGTTCATTGTTGAAATCTAGACTTCCAATGAAGGGTATCTTCAATTCAATACAATTTCATTGAACACCAATCATTTCAGTTATTATTCCATGTGAGAACGTTTATACATGGTATAAGAGGGTTTGGAAACCAATCTTTAGGTTCTTTAGCTGTACAACCAGTCTATCAGTTACTGTATGTGGCATCTCAATTTGCACCTGAAGTAGCTACCAAAACCTGATCATTGTCTTTCTGTCCACTATCGGTTCAACCAACTATTTACATTTACATCCATTTTATAATCTCAACCGATTCATTTCAAGTTTTACAATTGCTGTGAACTTCTTCCTGTCATCCTCAGTATTATTTTTTGACATGGTAGCTAAATACTGTACTGTTATGTTCAGTAATACATGTTATGCGACAGTTAATAAGTGGCCTATGTAGCTAGCTTGTGAAGAAAATATATTAACGAGACAATAATTATATCACTAGAAAATATAAAATAATTATTAAGTGCCATAAAAAATATAAATCAATTAACTACCGTACTCGAGTGAATATGCGCCCTCCTAACGTGATATTCTTAAGCTCGAGCCGCTTGTGTGAATACTTCAACAATATCATGTATTGTTACGTTCTTTTAGCAAGCCAATAAATTCAATCAATCTTGACTGTGGATGGCATGATTTTGAACTGCGGAGTGGATTCACATTTTCTTATGTCACTTTCAAAATGATGATATTTCTTCTAGATAGGGGAGAGCTCCCTGGACAGTATCCTCAGGTGCGGATCAAGGATTTCCCTTGACCTTCGCACGGATGGGGTGGCCTGGTCGTTATAGTGGTGGATCCAGAAATTCAAAATAGAGGGTGCCCAGAGAGGGAACTTCACAGACAGAAAACTCAGCCCTAATATGGTTGGGGCTGAGGTAAGAATTAAGAATACGTTTCCTCTAGATGGCGGAAATGGCACTTTCAGGATTTGAATTTAATTTTCTCAATTCTTTAAAAATTATTTTGAAATATTTACAGGGGCCCGGGCCGACTCGACTGGGTGCCCCTTGAATCCGCCACTGCATTGGGGACTCCTCTAAAGCTCAAGTGACCTAGGGTTTTAAAACAAATATTGCTTATTACGGAATTTCTATAAAAAGAAGAACGAACAGATTCTTGATAAAGAGGATTTGATGGTTGTTATACAAGATTACTCAGACACGCTTTGAATATCAACTATAAGCAACAGGTCTATTATAAATAAAGACCTGTATGGAGATATTACTCCTGTATCAAGAACTTTTAAGGGCACGAATTTGGGTACATAACTTTGGTTCGAATGGTCTTTTTTGGTCCGAAATTCTTAATTTTAGTTGGGTGAATACCGGTACCTTTGGTTTTATGCCCGTTGGTCCGAATGTTCCCGCTTTTACAACCCTTTTATTTGTTTATTTCATTATTACAAAAAAAGTCTTAATTACGTTTTAAAAAGATAGTTACAAATAAAGTTGACATGGGCCAGTTGACGTTGGACCTGCGTGAAAGTAGTCTAAAAAATGTGTAATTATCTCTTCACGTGATACCCAGTGGCGTATCTAGCAGTATTAAAATGGGGGGAGGGTGCGCGACCAAAATATGAGGGGGCATTTTCTATGCCATGGGGAATCATTAAAGTATCAGCTTCTTTTTGTGTGCTTACAGTTGGTGTTGGAGGATGTTCTGGAGTGTTTGCTTTGACATCTTGCCGTGTGAATTGTGACAGGACGTACCGCTGAAACCAGAAGAAAAGTGGCTCTTCAGCCAATATACGATGATCTTGGACCAGAAAGAGCAGTGACACTATCAGGCTTCCATGCTATCACCGTTGTGATAAAAAATTATTACAGGGCATATAAATGGTGTTGGAAAAAAAACAGCCCTTAAGATGTTTATGAAATCACCACCTCATGTTTACATGCTTTGGCCAAGCTTGGGGAAGGGAATATGCCATCATTAAATGTGAGAATGGGATGCAAGGAGTTTTTGTGTAGTCTTCTCTGAACGAAGAAAGTATCTGCTAAAGATGCCTCAATTTTACGATGGAAAAGATTCAAAACTCTGCCAAACAATCAAGGTGTAGATAAGCTGCCACCAACTGCAGGAGCCTTATATCAGCACATTGCATGCACATCTGCAGGCCAATATATGGAGGCAGGATACTGTTATTCATCCAGAAATCCCTGAGCCATGCAAAATTGGCTGGTTTGTGGAAGATGGTAAATGAGACCTGTCCTGTCAGAAAAGCATCATATATATATTATGGTAATAATAAAAACAGCATATGGCAATTGCATAACTAGCTCTTTCACAGTTTTTGTGCAGGTCGGTTATTATTATATTAACATGTATGCTAAAAAGCTCAAATAATGGAAAATGGCAGCCATTTTTAATTGTAATAGCTCAAAAATGTGTACAATATTTAGTTAAGTGTTGCTGTCATTGTTATGAGTGGATTTCCAATTGAATACTGCATTTTAATGACATAAATTTACAATATTAGTGACAATTTTAGGAAAAAATGGCGGCCATTTTGAAACGGCTGGAAACCCCCTTACGTATGAAAAAAAAACTGTCGCACATACTTTTTTGATTTATCTATGTCTACTCTACATCATATCCAATTTTTAAAAAATATGGCAAAAAAAATGCAACCAACCAAAGTTTGCTGGACTAATATGAATAACAAGCAATGTGCGCCTATATTATACGAGTTGACGGATATTGTGAAATACATATAAAAAATGTGGCCTAAAATAAACATGTGTTATGAATACACAGGGTACAATATGCTATGCATTATTTAGAAAACCAATTAAATGGCTTTTGAATTAAGCAAGGTGTATACGTTAGATTTTTAAATAACAGATTGCTGGTATATTATTTAGTGTTACTAGCTTTTGGTTTATTATTGGCAGGAGGACCATGTATGGTATTTCCATCATATGGAATGATCTACCAGGTGATAAATACGCCATAGAGCATTAGGAATCAGGGAAATCAACTTTGGGTGGGGGGGGGGGGGGTCAATATTAGAATAAGCTACTGTACGTTTCTACAGGGGTTCAACTCAGGCCCTACAACGGCTCCAGTCAGGGTGGTATGGCACACGCCAAGGAAAATCAGCAATTTTTAATAGATAGGCCTACTTAATAACTGCTAGATATTAAGATAATCTTGGCGCCACCCCTGACTATGACATGGCCCAGGCCGCCCAATATACATGCGTACAAACCGTAGCTGAGCTATAGCCCTGGTTCGAGACGAACACGTGTCAATTTTTTTAGAGTATTTTTTTCAACATACTGAGATATGGTATGGTAAAACATCATTTTCAAAATATCATTTCTACTGTTAAAGCAATGGATTTTCTGCTAGCTGCATCGAATGTCGTAGCCAGGATTTTCAAACAGTGTGGGTCAGTGTCAGGGTGGACCCATTTTACGCGTGAATTCAAATAATGTGGATCCATTTTCTTGAATGTTAACCCATTTTACACAAAAACATGGAAAATCTGGACCCATTTTCCTAAACTTTTAACCCATTTTAGGCTAAATATGAGAAATCTAGTCCGACTTTTCAAGAAGTGCACTCATTTATGCATAAAATTGAATAATTTAGACCCATTTTAAAAAATGTGGACCCACCATTTGTGGATCCATTAAGAAAAATTGTGTGGGACTGTCCCAACTGTCCCAATAGCTGGCTATGTCATTGACTGCATCTATTTTTAGCTCCAGTGGGCTGCGTTCTAGCGTAATGTCAATGATACGATGGGGGAATATATAAATTTTATGATGAGATACTGTTACAAATAGTCCATATAATGAAAATAACATACGCTCCGGAAGTTTTATTGAATTGTCTAGGATCCCTCCACATCGTTTATGTTTATTTTATTTACAAATCAAATTCACTAAAAAGAGAACAGATATTTCCGCGAAATCAACATTCTAAATCGGAGCTAGTTAGTTATCAAACTCAAAACATAATAATATGAAAATCGGTTTGTTTGCATTACCATTTCGATTTTCGATTAGGGATTATGATTGTAACGTCACCAGTGCCCAACGCTCCGCTATCAATCATTGCGCAACAAACCTTTCCACTAAGACTCACCCCATCCCCTACAGTTCGATATTTTCGGCCACGTTCTGATTGGTCAGTCGCTAAATATTGATTGGGAAATTGCCATTATTTACAATGTGAATTTGTGTAAATAAATTAAATATAGGCCTAAACGATGTGGAGGGAATCCCAGACAATGCAATACAATCAAACATACTGAAATAGTATTAGGAAAGTGTACAATTAGTGGCGTAGCTGGGTAAGAACGGGCCCCAGTGTAAGATTAATTGCCGGGTCATTTGATGTGGAGGGTCCACCGAGGGTCATAGGCCTGAGTTATGGCTGCTGATGGAGGAGGGTGCGCCGACGTTTAAAAATTTCAGGAGTCTTATTTTAAATATAAAAAATACATATTACAAGTCTAGGTAGCCTATACTGATTCACGTTTTGAGAAAATTCATCGTAAGAAGTGCTTCTTTCCATATTTACTTCCTTTTTATCCCTAAAATGACCTGGCTAGTAATAAACACTAATGATAATCGGGACCTTCGTAACTATTTCAAGAGGCATATGTGGTCCCCCAGATAATTTTCTTTCCCCCAGTCCCCCCCCACCTCCAAAAAAAAAAGAAGAAAAATTACAATTCGCCGGGGAGAAAAAAAAAGGGTATTTTTTACATATTAATGGATTATCTATCTATAAAATCGAATAAATAAGCCTCTGAAACCCCTAAATTGTCATGTTTTTCGGGAATTTTAGGCGATGCCCGACCGCCCCCACTTCTGAGCACCCAGCGTATCTCTACCCCCCTCCCCTAATTGCCTTCAGTGGCGTAGAAAAGTTTTTTTCATTGTGGTGGGGGGATGATTGGCGTGTTAGCCAGTGTCGTAACAGGCGCGGTTGGGGGGGGGGGGGGGGGGACGGTTTTTACCGGGCCGACCAAGCCGTCGTAC